CCCAACAGAATTGATGGCTATTGTGGAAGAGATCAAGTATACTTTAATTTGTGGTAATTTCCTTTGCTTTTCCTTTATCCTACATCCTTTTCAGGATATATATTATATCGCATTAATTGTTTTTGTCCCTCTCATGCCAAGCTAGGCAATATTTTCTTGTTTGCCTAAGTGTATGTGCGTTAGTCTCAAAGGATTTGCATACAATTGATTGTTTTCTAAATATTGGTTTAGTTTCACAGTCTCTTTTACTGTTTTCAGTTTTTCTTTTCTTTTTTATTGTTGGTTTTTTTTTTTTTTTTTTTTTGAATATTTTTAATTTTAAAAACAATCAATTTGTTATTATTGTTACGTTTTTTTGATAAAACGGTTTCGTTTACTACCACTACTAGTTGTTGTTGTTATTGTTTGTTTTTGGTTTTGTATCATGTATCAATTGTTTTTGTGTGTACAACACTTATGCAATTCGTATATTCTGTTCCCACACTTACACCTTCATATATAGACTAACAATTTGTTTAAAGTTCCCCCCTCCCCATCTCTCACCCCTTCGCCCCAAATCTAGTTTTCGGGCAATAAATATCAATTTTATGTTACAATTTGTTTTTCTTGTAGTAGTTGTGGCAGTTGTATTACATTTCAAGAAAAATAGAAACAAATGAGGAAACTACAGTCAGTTTACCGCGATTCGAAGATACACTTCGCTTGCACTCAAAATATGTGAAGAAAGGCATTATCAAAATCCATTAAGTTAAGAAAAGTAAATGAAGAAAACACATTGAGGCTTGCATTCAGACAGATATTCACATTCTTCAGTTAACTCAATATATTTTCAAGAAGATGAAATTTTAGATATATGTAAGCGTGTCCCATAAGTATTTTCCCCGCCACACCATGTATGACCTCGAGCCGACTGCGTTTTGTAAACATGCAAGCTTATCTATGGCATGGATATTAGTCGTCTCACAACTCGTTCAAAGTATGTTTCGTTGGTAATAAAGTCGCTTTTAAAATCCCTTTCTACGCCATTCAATGTGGATAGCCAAAGGAAGCATTTGCGATGTGT